TGCAACCACGCCAAGCAGTCTGTTGCAGTGCTGGCTCCCCGTGTGTCGAGGCGGTGTAACTACAGTGACTCAGAGAGATGCCGCAGACATCTGCACTTTCTCCGGTATAAACGGTATTGCAAAATCTCTACCGGTAGACACTTTATACCGTCACACGGTATTATACCGTCATACCGCCCAACCCTACTTGGAGGAGGGGATTCATTTAGACTGACATATTCATCTTGACACAGCCAGGTTTCAGTGAGGCTAAGTAAATCAATATGATTTACTGAAATTAATTCATTTACTAACACTGCTTTAGATGAAAGAGACCTGATATTTAACAGTCCGCATTTAATTCTCCTGTTTTGTCTTTCTGTCACAGAAGAGGTTTTAATTTTTATGAGGTTGTTATGCACAACTCCTCTTTGTTTAATTTTAGATAAAGATAATTTAGGTGGTCGGGGGACAGACACCGTTTGTATAGAACTATAGGTGGGTAGCTGCACTAGAAGCTCAGAGAAGCGTATAGGACTGCGACTCTGAGTCCTGATCTCAGCTCTGGGTTGACAGGGTTTTGGATTACTAATAAACTTTGCCAGATTTCTAGATATGAGAGCAGCTCCATCCAAAGTGGGATGAATGCCGTCTCTCCTAATAAGACTAGGTTTTCCCCAGAAAGTTTGCCAATCGTTAATGAAACCCACATCGTTTGCTGGACACCACCTGGACAGCCAGCGATTAAATGATGACATGCGGCTAAACATGTCATCAGTCCTGTAACTACCTCCACTGCAGATTCAAAGGCAGGACAACTCTGTCCTCGCAATCTGCAATCCTGTGATTCTGTCAATCCTGTGAGTTTATGCACAATGGCAAGGCAAAGTAACAGCGTGATATTCCTGCCTTGAACAGTGTGTAAGGGGTTGTGGAGAGAGAGAGAGTGAGAGAGAGAGAGAGAGAGAGAGAGAGAGAGAGAGTCACACAAGGCGATCGCAACATCACAACATCCCTAACGAACTAATGCCATGAAAAACCTGTAGTATCTCACTTTAGGACATTAATATTTCAGTGCAATTTGGGTCAGACTTTTCTTCTGCGGTGTTTCTCTACAGGAAGTATGTGAAGGCGTACATTGACTTTCCAAAGCCGCTTGTTGCTGTTGTGAATGGACCGGCGGTAGGAATCTCAGTCACAGTGATGGGACTCTTTGACCTGGTCTACGCCACAGAGAGGGTACACACACACACACACACACACACACACACACACACACACACACACAAGCACACACTAACAGCTGAGGCCAGATGCAGACCAGTAGATGTGGTATTTCTAAAGGAAGAATGTAAACTCCTCACATCCTCACACTGATTTCAGATCAGTGTACACACAGTTTTATCTGATATCTCTGCAGGTTAGATGATGACAAGGAGTCAGGATAGAAGTTAAAAGATGGTAACATTGTTTTAATTTACATTTGAGCATCATCTTCTTGTTAATGACACTGCTCAAAGCACTTAAGCAATACATGCCACATTCACCCATTCACACACACATTTATTCACTGGTGGCAGTGGCTAGAATACAAGGTGCCACCTGCTACACAGTTAACCATTCACACACTGTTGGCTCAACCATCAGGAACAATCTGGGTTCAGTATCTTGCCTAAAGGTGCTGACACACCAAACTCACATCAAAGATCTAGCAGCGACAAAAGCCAACTGTTGCGTCGTCTACGTCACCTCACGTCGCCCTGTGTCAGTTGCATTTGAACACACTACAAAAACTACATCTGACGGCCAAGTAGCACGTATGTTCTGCGCCTGCGTGAGAGGAAATAACGCTAAAAGGGAAACCGGAAGTCCGAGGAATGCATGAGATAAACAAAGTAGCGGAGTGAGAGAGTGGTACATCCTTTCAGCCGAGGGGCTTCCTATCTGTGCAGCCGAGCACCGCAGCACCTCCACGGACTATCACATCCAGACGGTCCCGGTGTTTCCTCCACAGGCTCCACTTCACTCAGCTGCCTGACAAACCCACTGCTTCTTCCCACTTTAACCTGAATAACAAACCGGGGCTTGGTGCTTCGGTTGGATCCAAACAGAGAGCCGGGGCTAGCTGGGAAGCTAGCAGAGGCTAATTGGCTGTGCTTCCCTCCGGTCATGCTGCGGCTAACGTTCTGCTAGCCTCACAGCTGGCCCCGGTTTGTTATTCAGGTTAAAGTGGAAAAAAGCAGCGGGTCTGTCGGGCAGCTGAGTGAAATGGAGCCTGAGGAGGAAGCACCGGTTAGCCCCGGGTTCACTACAGGCAGGTTCACTCGCTAAAGGGGCGAGGAAATAAATACTGAATAACCAATCAGAGTGATCTCTCTCACCGACAAGTTCTGCCACCGATTCAACATGCTCAGTTGGCTGAAAAGCCGCCGAAGAAAACTAGGGCGACAGATGCTCACCGACGGCCCGACTTTGACCAACGGCCAACTGTCGGCGTGGTGTGACAGGGCCTTAAGGATACTTTGACATGTGGATTGGAGGAGCTGGGGAGACAAAACAGAAGTGATGGGTGAGACATGTAACACAACAGTGAAGGCCACTAGTGTGACATACAACTTGTGCATTAGCAGCACTTTATAAACAATAACAATGAAATAACATGTCAATAACAATCATTTACCGTCCCTGTTATATGGCGGCTGATCTCGTTCTCTGCTCAGAGGGTAAGGAGCTCCAGGATGTCATTGTTTTCACTATATGTTGACATTTACAGCTGCTGTTCCTCTTTGAGTTAGCTGCTAACTGCGATTAGCTACTTTTTGAATCTCCTGCCGTGGGTCACATGCTTAACACATCATCAGAGCATCGCATGCATGCCGCCTATGATCCTGTGGTGTCAGCTGTCCCGTTTACACAGATGTTGTTTTGGCGCTGTTACTACCTGCGCTGCCACCTACAAGGCGAGATGACTCTGTCCTCGCATTCTCTGATTTTACCTTTTCTAAAGACTGGTGTGATAATTCTGCCTTGAAGAGGCAGTGTGTAAAAGGGGCTTTTGAATGCTGATGTGGATATGATCCAGGATCTTACAATAATGGAAAGCTGCAGTACAGGAGGCTGCAGTTTCAGGACCACAGTTTTACGACCCTTCAGTTTTCGTCACAGCACCACCTACCGAACAGAGGCTGCAATAATGGAGGCTGCAGTTTCAGGACCGTAGTTTTAGGACCATTTAATTTACCGAGCGGAGGCTGCGATTACCTGATTTTTTTATTAAAAACTCACTCACTGTTTATTTTTATTTTTTGCTGTACCCAAATACTACTTTTTTATTAAATAGTTACAATCAGTGTTGAGTAGTGACGCATTACTGTGATTTGATTATCAAAAATAGGAGACATTAATTAGTAATAGTAATTAGATTATAGTTTCAAGCCCAGGTTCATTACCATTGCCAGTAAGGCAGTGTTGGCCCGCCCCACCTGACCCCAGCGGTCCTTTCTGCTCCTCTCACCCACACTTAAACACGCATCCTGGGTTACTCAGTGTCGGGACTCTCCGCTGTCCTGCTAGAGTTTGTTCTGTGTTGTTTATTATTATTTATTTTTTGAGGGAATGTAGTAACTAGTAATGTGATTACTTGTGAAATAAAGTAAACTGATCAGAACTGTGATTACTTTTTAAAGGAGTAAAAAGTAATTTAATTACTCTTAACTAGTAACTTGCCCAACACTGTTTATAATTTAGTATAATGGTATAATAATAATTAAGTACACCCAGAAATAATAACAATTGCATGTACAATTCAGATCTCCATCAAAAGTGCCCTAAAAGATTAACAGACCTCTGTTATTGTATGATTGATAAATAAAGCTGAGTTGACTGACTCCTCACCAGATATTAAAGATTACAAAAACATAAAACACAAGGATTGCTGTGGGGACAGATTAAACATTTTAAACTGAACATGTATGAATATATAAAACTGTACAAAAAACAATCAATAAGAAATAAATAGTCAGAGAGACAAGTTTTTTTTCTTCCCATTTTTAATGGAAATTCCATTCCTCGATCTTCCTTCTCTTTGCAAGCTTCTGTATGAAGTCTTCCACTTCACTAAACTGGTAACAGAGAACACAGTTATTGCCAAGTTGATATTTTACTTCAAATTGCATTTGAAAATATAATTATCCACCCTTACCTTTGATCATAAACTGGACCAGAGAGATATTCCTGCTCAACCTCCTGTGAGGACAGCCCCTTTAGCTCAGTCAGTCCATATATGAGTGCCTACCGCCAGAATATATACACACACACACACACATTATACTTAACTCCTCACAGGGTGTCCACAGGTTCTTTAAAAGTATTAAAAGTTGATAAATCAAATGTCGGGAAATTAAGGCCCTTAAAAAGTCTTAATCGCGATTTTATTAAGTATTAAATTTTCTTGGCATTCAAGCTTTGACAAAAAGTATCCATGAATGTATGATTTATTTTCCTCCTCGCAACTATTACAAACAACGATGTGTAGGTAGGCACACTCGGACTGCCACTTGGGACTGTGCGTGTACCTGTGCGACATCACGCAACGGCGCATGTCCAGGCGCCAAACAGAGGCGCAAAAGACAATAAAAATGGGGAAATGCAAGTTGATGGAAGGCAAAACACACGAACTGAGGCACATGTCCTGAGTTTTGATATTGGTGTAATATTGTAATTTCAATTATTGTTGTTTTCAGCAAATTGGCCTTGAATAGCTGATGTTGAGCTGTAGAGCTGTGTTACTTGTTATGACCTAAGGTGTATTTTAATAAACCTGCCTTTGGTTTAATTTATTCTTTCAAGCTTTATTCCTTCTCATCTTATCTGAGTTCTGTTGTGTTTGTGCTCCATAGATTTAATTGCAAACTACAACTGTTTAGTAAGTTATAGATGCGTTGCTGCTAAAGACAGCTTGAAGTGGCGAGGAGGTCTTAAGGTTTTTCGGGAAGGTCTTAAAAAAGTCTTAAAAAGGTATTGAAATTAACCTCAGGATTCCTGCATATACCTTGCCTCAAAAAAGGTTTGGAAACGTTATTTCAGTCAATTATTTCTCCCCTTTAATTATACCAATCGGTGTTGTATTTTATATTGTTGGAAAGCCTGATTAGTCACCTTTACAACGAGGTACAACTTGTAAGGATCATGCATTAGTGGTATGAGCAACACAGCTAAACGTGGGTAACGCCCCAAAACAATGTGCCAAAATCCCCTGCAACATTCTCCTGTTGGTATTCACTCTTGTTCTGAGCTTCAAGTGCTGCTAGGTGTGTGTCAGTCACAGGTGTATGGCACCTGATTGGAGCCCAAACCTCAACCCAATTGAACACTTGTGGGATCAGCTTGGGCATGCTGTACGTGCTAGAGTGACCAACACAACCACGCTGGTTGACTTTCAACAACTCCTGGTTGAGGAATGAGATGCTATCCCACAGCAAAATGTGACCAGCATGAGGAGCTGTTGTGGCTGCGTATGGCTCTTCCACACGCTACTGAGGTCCCTGACAGTGTCAAGTGAATAAAGTGTAAAAATGGCCAATATGTGTTGTTTTTTT